AGTTGGGCCGCAGATCCGCGCTCCAGCAAGGAGCTCGGCGGCTGTGTGCCCACGGTGCCCACGGTGCCCGGCAGCCGCAGCCAAGTTGCGGAACGAAATAAATACATACATAAATAACCCACCTCACTCGCCACTGCCGGATTAATTAAAAAATAAAAGATAAATTGACAGGGACATTTGTTGGCGACCGTAGCCCAGAACCACAGGGACCCAGGAGGTAATATTTGAACACAGGAGTCCAAGTCCTGCTTAATCTGTGTCGCTGTTTAACCTCTATAATCTCACTGCCTCATCTGCAAACCCAGTGAGTGTACTTAGTTTATATTTGCTCCATGGGGTGGTGGACGGAAATAAAAGGAGTTGATACCCTTACTATACTTAATGTGTTTTAAACACATATTTACTATTATACACTGCCTATAAATACGTATATAAATAATATTTAGGGTTGGGGATTTGGCTCAGTGGTTCTACCAGCTGCCTCACAAGTGCAAGGGCCTGAGTTCGATCCCCTGTACAAAAAAAAACAATTTTTAATTATATGTATTTGTTTAATACTCTATGTGGATGCTTAGCATATAGTAAATACAAGGTTCCCTTTTTTTAAGTCCAGGTGTCTCTGTAACCCAGACTGGCCTCGAACTCACAGCGATCATCCTGCCTCAGCATCCCATGTGCTGAGATTACAGGTGTGCCCCACCGTGCCTTGCTTATATTTTATATTTTATTATGCAGTGTCCATGAGTTGTTGATTTAAAAAAATTTTACTCATACAAAAATGCACACCTTTGGGGTTTTGGAATTTTTTGGGGGGTGGTACCACGGATCAAACTCAGGACCTTGAGCTAGCAAGGCAGGCATTGGAACCACTGAGCTGAATCCCCAGCCCTGGAGTTAACTTTTTATATGGAAATTTTTAAGCATTTACAAGAGTTGAGGAGCTGGTACAATGGACTCCCCTAGGCCCATCACCCAGATTTGATAATTATAAATACCTGGCCAATTCTGCCTCAGCGGTACCCCCACACCCCTCTCTCGGCCACCTGAGTTATTCTAAAGCAAATCCAGATCTCATATTTCGTTCACTTTACTATTACAGTACTTTTAAAGTAAATTTCATTTTGTTTTATCCCATCCCCCCAGCTCCCTCCTCTCCCTATGTACAAAAGCTTTGTTTCCATTTTTACCTTCTATTTTCACTTTTTTCCTTGTTCCTTCCTTTCTTCTTCCTTCAAGAACCTACTTTTTGACTCACTGATCCTTTAGGTTTTGGGGGTTTTTTTTTTTTATGTTTTTTGTTTTGTTTTGTTGAGACAGGGTCTCACTGTGTAGTTCAGACTGCCCTGGAACTCACTGTGTAGCCCAGGCTGGTCTCGGAGTCATAGCAATCCTCCTGCCTCAGCCTCCCGAGTGCTGGGATTACAGGCGTGAGCCACCATGCCTCGCTCCTTTGGGGTTTTTTGAGACAGTCTTGTTATGTAGTTCAGGCTGGGCTTGAACTCACTGTGTAGCCCAAACTGGCCTTAAACTTGCAGCGATCTATTACAGTATTTTTTACCTCAGTGTTTATATGTAATATTACCTCTGTGCACAATTTGTTCTATTCATCAGTCATAAATTCCCTGTGGCATTGAAAATCTTGCCCACACCAGCATTTGACACAGAAATTGAAACTGAATATTGGATCAGTTATGAAATATTTGGAGCACAGTTTCCTTGCTGGAAAAGTATTTTCCGCCTCTCAAGCAATGTGCTCTGAGGAAAGGGAATGTTACACTCTGCCGCTGGCTCCCTCACAGCGAGAATCTAGACAGCTCTCACATCCTGGGTGACACTGGAGGCTGAAGGCCTGCATCAGGGAAGAGATTTCCCTCACTACACGTGTGCCTGTGCTCCGTCTAAGAAGGGAGCCACCTCTGCAGACACTTGAGTATTCAGGGATGATCAGCTGTCTGGTAAAGCATTCTTTACCCTGTGCCTATGTCACCTTCGCACTGAAAATTCAATCACATGTTTTTCCTCAAGGAATTCTGGAGCCATGTTATCATGACTGCTTTAAGACACCCCCTAACTTCCTTCCTAATGGGCGGCCCTTGGAGACAAGGGCCCTCCTGCTGTCCTGTGCACCACCTGACTGGCACGCAGGGCCAATATGATGAGGCAGGAACAGCATTGGGATATTTTTTAGTTTCTTCTTTTCCTGTATAATACAACTGTAGCAGATAGTGCTCATGTCACTGTTCATGACACAGGTTCACAGTAAAAGACATACACTGACAGGCACGCTGGTGCACAGCGGTGATCCCAACACTTAGGAGGCTGAGGCAGGAGGATCGCTGTAAATTGGAGGCTAGCCTGGGCTACATAGTGAGTTCAAGGACAGCCCAAACTACACATTGAGACCCTACCTCAAAAAATAAAAACAAACAGGGCCAGGGATTTAGCTCAGCAGTTGCGCTGCCTGCCTTGCAAGCGCAAGGTCCCAAGTTCAATCCGCAGTACCAAAAACAAGAAAAATAAAAAATAATTTAAAAAAATAATAAAAACTAGCAAACAAAAAAGACATAGAGTATTTAATCCTCACAACCCTGTGAAGGTGGAATTTTACCCATTTTACAAAGGAGGACATAAAAGCTAAAATACAAGGGAGTCCAGAAATACACAACACACACACATTTTAGTTTAATTTGTAGTTTCATAGACTTATTCTGCAGCTTATCCAGCATAAGTGTGCGTGTGACACCAGTGACTCCTTCATCTGATCCTCAGCCTGCCATGTTTGGGCTGAGGCCCTGACAACGGGTCTCAGGTTCTCTTTTATTGTTTTTGTTTTTTTGTTGTTGTTGAGACAGGGTCTCACTATGTAGTTGAGACTGACCTGGAACCCACTGTGTAGCTCAGGCTGGTCTCGAACTCACAGCCTCAGTTTCCCTATTGCTGGGATTACAGTCATGCACCACCACGCCCGAGTTAGGTCTCTGGTTCTTATAGCCTGGATCCCTTGGAGAAGAGAACCCTTAGGACCAACAGAGCTGAGCACCAGCTGAGCGCCTCCAGAGCTCTCCCTCCTGTCAGGCCACAGGCATTCACGCCAGGGATACAAAGGCCCAGGAAGAGGCGAGGGACCCTGGCCCCACTCCGTGAGCAGGTAAGCAAGTGAGTGTTGTCTGTGGTGCTGTGGCCAATGCTCTGGAACCGGGTCAAAAACACCCCCAAATCCTTTTCTTCCTTGAAAACCTTGATCCTTCCTGGAAGATAAAATCACTCTCTTCTATGCATTGCTGCGACACTTTGGACACAGGAAATGTCTGTCAGAGTTGTTCACACACTCAGCCGCCTCCCTCTTCAATGACAGGTAGCCTAGAGACAGCGGGCTCATCTGAGTTCCTCGGCCTGCCTCGGAGAGTAGGTGCCTGAAACACGTTAACTCAACAGTTAAAATCAGAGGTAACTTGCTGTTGCCGCAACCTCTGTCTCTCTGTCTTTCTCTCTCTCTCTCTCTCTCTCTCTCTGTCTCTCTCTCTCTCTCATACCATCTTACATGGTTGTTTGTTTTTGAGACAGGGTCTCACTATGTAGTTCAGGCTGTCCTTGAACTACGTAGCCCAGCCTCATTTTGAACTCATGATCATCCTCCTGCCTCAGCCTCCCAAGTGCTGGTATTAAAGGTGTGTGCTATCATGCCCGGCATTTTGTTTGTTTGTTTGTTTGTTTTTACATTATGTACAAATCACCTACGGTTTTATTTGCCTGCTTTTTCATATGAATATCCCCAGATCCAAAGGCTGTTTGCCAAATAGGCCCCAGGAAGGCACTGGGGTACTAGTAAAAAGAGAGTTTCGGAACTACAAGGAAAGAGTGGTTGCCAAAGACAGCTCTGGACATCACTGTCAGCCACTTGTTCCCTGGAGTCATCCGGCCTCCCCAGAAGGAAGCGCGCTGGCCTTCCGGCCGAGTGTCACCCTGCCTACCAGACCCAGCCCTCCTCTGTGTGGCTTCGTCCTGGCAACAACGCACCAGTGGAAGGAGACGTGGCAGCCTGCAGAGCCGCTGGCTGGAAATGCCTTTCAGGAGCTGTTTCTCTCGCTGCTCAAACCAGCCCAGACCGTCTGGCTCCCTTTCTAGAAGTTCGCCGAACATGAGCGTCTCTTCTTCTTTACGCACTGTCCCACTGGGGCTCACAGCCCGGGACCTGCTGAGGGCTGTCTCCAGCTGGAGACTCGAAGCGTTGCCGAGTGCAGCCACGCACAGGCTGCAGGGTCCCAGCGCCGCCTGGTCCGCCTGTCCTCCGGCCCTAGGTCCTCCTGCCCAGCACCATCATCTGGGCTAAGTGGTCCCGTCCCCGGGCCGTTTCTCTCTCAGGGCTCACACACATCTCTCCTCAGGGTCCATTTCCCTATGTACCAGGCGGTGCTGGGTGTCTTTCCTACTCGATGCAAGCCTGTGATGTGTGTGATAAAGTTTTTTGTTTTGTTTTTTGTATGGGGGATCGAAGTCAGGTGCGCTTTCGAGGCAGGCAGCAGAACCACGGAGTTAAATCCCTGGCCCAGCAGAACGTTTTCTGAAAGGTCCTTGCATCCCTTGCTCATACAGGCAACAAAATAATCCTTATTTACCGTCAAGTTCAAAAGGTGCAAAGATGTAAAAGACCAAGGCCAGGGTGAAGACTCCTCCGCCTCCCGCCCCACTCCTCCCACCCACCTCAGTGCCCTCAGATGAAACCCAACAAGGGCTCCCCCACAAGCCGACGAAGCTGGGGCCAGAGGGTGTGGAAAGGGCTTAGTATGCAGTTTATTCCAGAGCCTCAAGGAGCTGGGGCTTTGCTCTAGACTGGAAGCTTTCAGAAAGCAAGGATGATACCATGATTCGAACCTTACTTCTCCAGAAAACAAGAGGACAGAAACAAGCCTACAGCTCTCATTGGAAAAAGAGCAGCCGTCGCTCCTGTGCCCCGTGATAGGGAATTCTGGGGGGTCGTCCTTGTGGTTAGGGCGCTTCTTTGGTTTGGACTGTGCTCCTGCAGGATTACAAAGAAGTCTTGTTTTTGTCGAAATCCATCAGTCACGGGTGCTGATGGTCTGTGAAACTATGCTTAACGAGAGAGTACCAAAGAAATGACCACACTCTTTGGATTTTTGTTTATTTTCACTTAATAATATGTGTTCTATACCTTTCTGAGTTCATAAATAAATATAAATGTGGTTCCTTCTATTTTGTTGCAAAGTATTCCATAAAATAGATTTACTTTAGTAAATCAGCCCATCCTCAATCATGAGTTGTGGCTTTTTTTTTTTTTTTTTTTTTTTTTGGTTTCTTGAGACAGGGTCTTACTATGTAGTTGACACTGAGCCCAGGTTGTTCTTGAACTCACAGCGATCCTCCTGCCTCAGCCTCCTGAGTGCTGGGATTACAGGCGTGCGCCACCACGCCCAGCCCAAGACGCTCATTTTAATGGTGACAAATGTGAGATTCGAAGGGGTTCATAACTTGGCCAAAGTCACGTGGCTACTTAGCAAAGGCCCCTGGACGAGCACCAATGCAGACCGCTCTTCTGGTCGTGACGCAGCTGCTCTGGGGACCCAGAGGCTGCGGCGCGGCCAGCTGGAAGTGGCCCTTTTGTCTGAGAACGGCTGACGTGACTGTTGGGAGCGCTGGAGCCAGACCCAAGCCCTTGAGCGCACTAGGCAAGAGCTCTGCCCCCGAGCCACACCCCCCAGCCCAGGGCTCCACTTCTCTCACGATCTGAGCCCCGTGGGGCGGCGTGTGCCTATATCCCACCTGCTGGGGCGCAGGCAGAGCAGCCGAGCCCAGGAGGTCGAGATCGGTGGGGCAATAGAGTAAGATCCTCCACCCAGAAAAACAGACTGTGAAATGGGCAGCCGGTGAGTAGCACTTGCTGACCTCTCGGAAGAAGGTGCCAGAAGTTGAGTCTAGAGCTTTTTCCCTCAGAGGCCTCTCTCGCACCAGCTTGCAGTTCTCAGTGCAGCTGCACTACTCCAGCTGAGCTGGGTCTGTCTTGGTTACTTTTCTCGTCGCTGAGCCAAAATACCTGACACCCAAAGTTAAGAGGAAAGGTTTCTCAAAGATGTTTTATGGGCTGAAGCCACAGGTAAGGCAGGTGCAGAGTGGGACGAAAGCATAAGATCCAGTGGGAAACCACAAGGTGGGCATGAGGTGGGACCAAACCATGATCAACCAATAAGATTCTTTGTTTTGTTTTGTTTTGTTTTGTTTGAGACAGGGTCTCACTATGTAGTTGAGACTGACCTGGAACTCACTATGTAGCCCAGGCTGGTCTCGCACTCACAGCGATCCTCCTGCCTCAGCCTCCTGAGTGCTGGGATTACAGGCGTGCACAAGATTCTTAGTATAGTCGTCCAGGTAATACTGAGTGAAGATCAAATGGGGAAGCTACTCACGCAGCAAGTATACTTGGATTTCCAGGAAGGAATGGGCTAGTTAGGATGATTGGGTCCCCCATTAAGGTGACTGAAACCTATTTATAATATCAGTCACTGCTATTCATCCCAGAGGAAGTAGGTGGATGTAATAGTTTTTCCTTTTGTTAGCCTCAGTGAATGTGCCTCAGTTGTTTTTCTGTGAAAGACCCAGCCTTGTCCAACTGCCTTGTAATAATTTCTAACTTAGCTATCTTGAATTTAGCAATACTTGAACTATGTAGCCCAGACTGGCCTCAAACTCACGGGATCCTCCTGCCTCAGCCCCCTGGGTGCTGAGATTACAGGCGTGTGTCACCATGCTCAGCAAATGTGCATACTTTTTGATTGAGAATGTCCAGTTCGGAAGTATCTTGCACATATATGAGAGGTGTGAGAAGCGATGTATAAAAGCCCATCAGTATGGAATTAAGTTACCGTTCCATCTCAGTGTGACGCTCTACACCAATGAAGAATGACCGGTGGAGATGGTCTTCCTTTTGTTTGTACCTATTTACTTTGAGTGGATCTTTTGTAATGAGCATTCTTTTATAATCAGAAAAATCAAGGAAGCCATTTCCACTTTACTCCTTTAGAAACAATATAGAATCACAGTGGACAGCAAGACCTTAGGAATCCAACTGCCTGTGTTTAAGTCCCAGCACCACCCCCTGGGTTGACCTTCAGCAAGTTGCTTGATGTCTTTTTCTCATTTCTTCATCAGTAAAAAGAATATAAAAACTACACCTGCCTCAGGCCCGGGATTTAGTTCAGTGGTTCCACTGCCTGCCTCACAAGCACAAGGACCCGAGTTCAATCCCTAGTACCAAAAGAAACAAAACAAAACAAAACAAAAAAACTGAAAAAACCAAACAAAACAAAAAACTACACCTGCCTCACAGGCTCATGTAAGGATTAAGTAGATTAATATTTGTCACACTTACAATTGAGATAATAATAGCATTGATATGTATTAGCTATTAGTATTGACAGTATTAGCTATTAGCACTTCATTTTGGAAACAAAGATTACTTAGCAGTTTGTGTGTAGGCTGTGTCAAAATGTTTGATGAGGGGCCAGGGATTTAGCTCAGTGGTTCCACCACCTGCCTTGAAATTGCAAGGTCCCGAGTTCGATACCCCATACCAAAAAAAAAAAAAAAAAAAAACTTGATGTCAAAATTTCTCTGATGTCAAAACTGTTGCTTCAATTGTCAAAAGTCCGTGGGAAAAGATGTGGACAGAGTGACAGGTTTAAACACTGGAAAGGAAGAGACAGCATGCAGTTATCTGCAGTAACATAACTGCCTACCTAAGAAAACCCCAGACATTCAACTGTTGAATTAGTCCTGAAAAATTATCAGGACTAATAAGAAAATTCAGTAAAATGGAAGAATAAAGGGTAAATATTTTAAATTCAACAGCTTTATACTGAAAGGGAAATAAACTCCTCTGTAGCTAAAGCTGGACTTGCTAACAGGGAAAGATGACTCCATTCCTTTTTTTTTCGGTACCAGGGATCGAACTCAGGACCTGTGCTTGCGAGGCAGGCGCTGACTGCACCTCTGAGTTAAGTCCCCGGCCCTCCCCTCCAGTACTTCTAACACGCCAGGCCTCCTGGGGCAGGGGTTCCTCTCTTTGTTCTGCCTTCCTGCCATATGCAAATGAGATAAAACTCAGTGTACTGTGCTAACCAGTGAACCCGCTGTTTGTGAAATTCTGTAACCAATGAGGTTGCTGGGCCCATGTGTAAATGAGGATTAGAATTGGTAAACTCACCCCTTCCCTAAGTGTATAACAACCCAGCTCTGACTGAGTTGCTGTCGGTCTCTTCGTGGAGAAAAGCTGTGCGCTTTGCCTCTGTGCGCTTTGCCTCGGAGACTCCTGGTGGTCTTCCCTTCTCCTGGACTACCTGCACTGAGCTGTAACACTACAGCTGCACATCCTGGCTGGCACTTTGCCATTTCAATACAATACCAGCAATGCTACGGAAGTATGAAAAAATTCAATTTATAATAACAAAAAACCCATAAAACATTCAGGAATAAGTTTTGTAAGAAATACATAAACTCTACATGAAGAAAATCATAAAAATGTGCAGCAAGACTTAAAAGGAGATCTGAATCTCCATATTGATTTCCTGTAATCCTAGCGCTCTAGCAAGTTGAGGTAGGGTGGTCACAAAGTTTGAGCCCAGCCTGGGCAATTTAGCAACAACTTGTGTCAAAATTTTAAACTGTTTAAAAGGCTGGGTATGTTGCCCGGGTGCAAAAGCCCTGACTTTGGGCTGGGATTTGGTTCAGTGGTTCTGCTGCCTGCCTCACAAGCCCAAGGGCCGGAGTTTGATCCTCAGTACTAGGAAAGATATTATATAAAATCTCATATTAACCTAATAGAATTTTAATGAAAATTCTTTTTTTTTTTTTTTGAGACAGGGTCTCACTATGTAGTTGAGACTGATCTGGAACTCACTATGTAGCCCAGGCTGGTCTCGAACTCACAGGGATCCTCCTGCCTCAGCCTCCCCAGTGCTGGGATTACAGGCGTGCGCCACCACACCTGGCTGTAATGAAAATTCTAATAGGGCTTCCTTTTGCATATAGCTGATAAATTGATCTTTAAATTAATTTAGAAGATTAAGCACTTGAGAATAAGACAAGAAAAATGTGAAAAATAGGATGAGTGAGAGTGGCTTATTCTGCCAGATAACGAAAGTGCAGAATTTTCTCAAAAATTAATGAGCAGGGGACAGATTACAGAACACAAATCTGGATTCAAGCATTATGAGATTTAGTACAAAGTACTGGGTAGGGATTTTCAGGAAATTTAATTTAGATCTTTATGTTACACAGTACATAAAAATAAATTCCCAGTGAGCCAGTGTAAGAAGATATTTATAAAATCTTGGAATAAATTTTATCTTTCAAGATTCATTACAAGCCTTATGATTTGTTTTTTACACTTGATCTTAGCCAAAAGGCCGAGAAGTGATCCTTATGATTTGTTTTTTATTCGAAAACATGTACTTGGGACCGGGGATTTAGCTCAGTGGTTCCGTCGGCTGCCTTGCAAGTGTGAGGGTTCTTACCCACATAAATAAATGTATATACAAACAAATACTTTGGAGGAGGATCCCACAGACCATGTTAGTAGTTAGGAGTTGGGATTACAGTGGACTTTCGCCATTTATTTTACATTTCAGAGATTTTAAATTTTTGTCTTTTTTTTTTTTTTTTTTTTTTTTTTTTTTTTGTATAGAGGATTGAACTCAGGACCTTGTGTTTGTGAGGCAAATGGCAGCACCACTGAGCTAAATCCCTGGCCCTGTCTGATTAATTTTGAAATGTTCACCCATGTGGCTTAATCCCAGGGCAGTGCAAGGGGGGAAAATGGAAACTTTAGGAGAAACTCAGTGTGCGATCTGCTAGCCACTGTGGCTAGCTAGTTTCCTTCAAAGGGGTCACAGGGACCCCCATGCTTTTCCTTCCTCCCTTTTGCTTACCTGCTGTGAGGTGGGCTCTCTGCTCTGCTGCATAAGCCCTGCCATGATGTGCTGCCTCCCCACACCCCACCAGCATGGGCTGAAACCTCCATAAGCGTGAGCCATAGTAAATCTTTTCTCTTTTTTTGTTTTGTTTTTGTTTTTTGAGACAGAGTCTCACTATGTAGAGAGTGACCTGGAACTCACTATGCAGCCCAGGCTGGTGTCGAACTCGCAGTGATCCTCAGCCTCCCAACTGCTGGTATTA